TTGCAATTTCTAGATTGGGGCAAATTAGAAGTCGAGTGTAGATTCCCAGAAGACAATGCTATTGAAGAAAAGGCTGCCAATCCAAAAGCTGTTGAAACCATTCAAGATATCTTGAGAGAGAGCGAAGAGCAGAATCCACATCTCGAGTTCCTCAAGAATCCAAGATATCGAGACAAACCACAAGGAGAATTGGCACTCGTTGCGGAACCAGCACAGATTCTGTTTGAGAATTACACTCCCTACAAGACTTACACCAAACAACTGCTGATCAGAAACATTTCACAAGTCTCTCAACGTGTCAGGATCCAATTTGCAGATACGATGACGTTTTCAGAGTTCTTTTCCTTTCAACTGGAAGAATCACCGATTGAGAACAATGGACAAGTGGCACCAGGTCTGTGCTTCAAGTACACGATCTCGTTCACACCCAACTCGTTTGGAGCCTTTGAAGAGACACTCTTGGTGTTGTCAGAGTCTGGTACAGGCTTTGAAGTCTCCATCTTTGCCTCTGGCAACCAGCCAGTCTTGGATCTGCCGCAGACACTGGATTGTGGACAATGTAGACCTGGCTATACCAACACCAAAGAGTTTAGCTTTTCAAACAAGGGATCCTTTGCTAGATTCATTGTGATTGGTGAAAACGAAACCAAGAGCCCTTTTGAGCTGTTTGATGCCATTGGTGCTGGCAATCATGGTGATCCCAGTTCTGTTCAGATTGGCAGTTACTCCATCTCTCCTGGCTACTTTAGTGTTGGTTATGGTGAAACAGCCACTCTCAAAGTGTCTTTCAAACCAAACCAAGAGCAAATGGACTCAAATGTCGCTGGTGGTGTCTTTGACATCCAAAAGCTCGTCTTTGCTTGTGACAACTGCCAGTACATGACGTATTCTCTCAGTGGATGCATTCAGACGCCATCAGTTGCCATTACTGGTGGCAGATTTGTCAATGCCAAACGAGATATTGCGATTGAATCTGGCACAGATCTGTTTGATTTGCTGATGGATTTCACAAGAGAGAACATCTTTGCTTCAGAAACATGTCTTTTGACGATCAAGAACATGACTGGACTCACACTTCCGTTCAGATGGGCACAAGCACGCTACAAGGAAGATATTGTGCTGGAAGAAGACAGAGCACCATCAGACTTCACCTTTGAGCCGCAATCTGGTGTTCTCGAGTCATGGTCTTCCATGCACTTCAAGATCCACTTTAGACCAACCACAAATAGAAAAATGTGTCAGATGGCAGAGCTTTTGATGGTGGATACCAACGAAAGCAACGATGGCACAGTGACCAAAGAGAGTCTTCTCAAGAACGAAACATCCGAGACCCTGTGCAGATTGCTCTTGGAAGGAGAAGGTGTGCCATACGAAGCATCGTTCAGCACCAGTCTCTTGACGATCCCACCTGGCACGTATTGTGGTCAAACACTCAACACTGAAGTAGAGCTAACAAACCAGAGCGTGTCTGATCTCTCATTCAGTCTCTCTATCGAGGGTATTGATGCATCTGTCGTCAAAATCTCACTCTCAGAAACAGAAGGTATCATTCCACCAAGAGAATCAATTCTTGTCCAAGTGTCTGTTGTGAGCTATGCACCGGTGCCAATTGATGGAAAAGTCGTCTGTATCACTGCCAATGGTGATGGTCCTGTGCTACAACTGTTTGTGAAAGGCAGCATTGCCATGGACACACGAACCATCAGTTTTGGAACAGAGTGTTTGGATTTTGGACTGGTAGCACTTGGAAATAGGAAATCCATCAGTGTTCCATTGAGAAACAAGTTCAAGAGTCCGATCGAATGGCAGATCACAACTCAAAACGACACACAGGATTACTTGCTCTCGGTTGAGCCAAGCAATGGTTTGCTACAACCACATGAAGAGTGCATGATTTCTGTGCTCTATCTGCCACTGTGGTACCAGACTCTACGAGACACGTTGCGAGTAGAACTCACGAGTGTTGGTGTCAAGTCAGACACTGGATCTCAGCAAGTACAAGTGTCTCCAATCCTCGTGTCTGCGAATGAAGTCATTGGCATTGTACAAACACCAAGGATGGCGCTAGTGAACAACTGCAACACCTTTTCTTGCTTTGTGAATGTGCCAGTCCAATGGACACTTGTTCTCGAAAACACTCGCATGCTTCCGACTTACTACAAGTGGCTGCCAATCGAAAACGAAGCATTCAAGGCAGAGTTCTTCCCAAGCGAAGGATCACTGAAAGGCGGAGAGACACAAGAAATCAAAGTAGAAGTCAGATTTGCCAAAGTAGGCAAGAACCAGCAGTTCAAAATCCAGGGGAAAGTCAAGGACATGGTCGAAGACGATGGATTCATGACTCTGGACATCACTGCTGATGTCGTGCAATATGAATTCTCGTTCCGTGTCTTAGAAAACGAACAAGCCTGGCAGGACAAGGCCATCATGACTCAAAAGAACAAGTCCGTCTCTGACGCGCATTTGCGATTAGATTTTGGGTTGCTGTGTCCGATTTCAGCAGTCAGAACACGCACAATCAAGATCCGTAACCATTCAGCCATCGAATCTCAGTTCCAAGTCAATTTCGAAAACTATACACCAACGATTGAGAATCTGCAGCAAAAAGATCAGAAAACAGAGCTGGAACAGAATGGTATTTGCGCTCATCCAAGTAGCAACAAGTTCATCGACGCCACTGTTATTGCGATCAACAAAGAAAGCCAAGATTGGATTCAGTTCCAAGAGTGGACAGCGATACATTGAAACCATGAACAAGTTCAGATCTGTCCTGAATCAGATGAAGCAAATTCTGTCTGAAGGTCGTGGTGCTGCCTTCCATGCTGTGCCTCACATGGGAGTCATCAAACCATGGGGAGAAGTAGAGATCAAAGTGAGTTCGTACAACAACTTGGTTGGCATCTACACTGATCAGATGATCTGCCAAGTCGAAGACATCAACAAGATCTTCCAGGTCCGTCTTGGTGTTGTTGGCACTCCCGTCAAGGTTTCTGGTGCGCAGTTGATCTCACGAGAAAAAGAAGTCCAGCGTGGTGGCATTGATGTCGAAAAAGTCAACTTTGGTGCCAGAGTTATCAATCCAGCATATGGATTCTGTGATGGTGTCCGAGTGAGACCCAAGAGCCGCATGGCTACAGATAAGCCTCGATACAACAGTGGACAGAACAGAATGTCACAAGCAACAACGACATCACTCCCAAGTGCATTTTCCAAAGTCATTCAAGTGGATAACCATTCTCCTCGAGATGTGATCTTGGATTGGAAAGTCTACATCAAGCACACTCCCATCCATACACACACTGAAGAAGGAGAAAAGCTGGACAGTGACAAAGTGACTGTCGATATGATTGTGAAGCCAGAAAACTTGGTAGAACAGGGAGACATCGGCATCTTTGAAGTCACACCGAGCTATATGACCATTCCAGCATTTAAATCAGCACCACTCAAGTGCAGTTTCAGAAATGCAGAACTTGGTAGCTATGAGGCACTGATTATGGCAGATGTTGCCTATGTACAAAAGGATGGCAGTGTTAAGTATGCTCCCAAGCGATCCAAGAAGCCTGGAGAGTGGCCAATCGAAGATCCTATCTCTCAAGCCATGCTGGCATCTGGAAATGTGACACTAGGAGATCTAGAGTCTGTCGCATTGTTTGGCATCAAGGCCAAGTGCATTGAGCCAAAACTGACACTGGAAGCTGGAGACATGATCCGCATCAAGCGAAACAAACTGGAACCGAAGAAATCTGTGATCGCGTTCTTGAACAACCGATCGGATGCCGTTTGTGAGTTTACACTCTCAACAAACGATCCACAGACGTTCAAAGTCAAGGGATCCAAGAAGCTGATCAAAGTCTTTGATCCCAAAAAAGAAAAGAGGACAGAGAATGATCCGATCGTGTATGAGCTCAAGCAAACACAGCAGCTCATGATCACTGTTGAATACTGTGAGCCAGAGAACGCTCAATACGTCATGACAGAGTGGACGCCAACTGTAAGAGAGCCTGTATTGGAAGAGTTGCAAGAAGTAGACAGTGCCCGTGTGTCAACGATTGAACCATTGCCGATTATTTCAAGACAAACATCTCCCAACAGAAATCAGAATCTGATGGGCAGTGTGCGTGGTTCCTTGAACATCTTGAGTGACGAACTTGGTCCATCGAGAGTCTCTGTGAGATCAGCTAGCAAAAGCATTTCTGAACACAGCCAAGAACGGGAAATCACTCCAAAAAGTGACAGAGAGTCTCATCTGTCGCGAGATGACATGGCACAGCGTGAGTCAGTGTCTCGACAGTCTAGAGAGGAGGAGCCAGAGAGACAATCGAGTGGACAGCGAAGACGCTCCAAGACAGTGTCGTCTGTAAAGACCAAATCGACGCCAAGCACGTCACACAGAAGCAGGGCAGCAACAGTCACAGAGGAACAGAAGCGACCACTTCAGCAACCGCAAGATGTCGGTGTCTTTATGCGTGGTGAGCTTCTCATCTCTTACTCCAATGGCATGACACAGAGCATTCCTATTGCAGTTGTCAATAAATCCTAGAGTATTTCAAATCACAATGCATGCTTGAATGATCTTTTGGAGCGATCGGAAATTTTTGAGAAAGCTTTTCATGGATATTGATCCAGCAATCATCTACTTCACACACAGCAAAATCAGAAACAGATTCTCTGGCTGTGGCAAGCTCCTCCAAGAGACGCTGGAAGAAATTCTGAATGGCACAACAACAGTAGCTCAAATTCCAAAAATCAGAGTTATTTACGATCAAGAAACAGACCGATACTACTCTCTCAACAACAGAAGGCTATGGCTGTTCAAGCAGCTCAAGCAGTTGGGGAAATTGGATACCATTCTTGTTGAACTTCGTCGACCAGAAACAAAGCAGGAAGCACGACTGGGGAAACAAACACTGTCACTGAACGCCAAACCCTGTCTGAAGTGACACGATTCAAGAATCTTGGTTGCCATGGTTCATAATAAACCGATTTTTTGATCAGGTTGAGCTCCTGTGGCCAAGAGGTTTAAGGCATCGTGCTTATACGTTTCGGGAACGCGAAAATCGCGGGTTCGACCCCCGCCAGGAGCATGAGTTTTGCCATTTTTTGCATGGACAGTCCAACATCAAAGCTGGCGAATGCGATGAGGGACAACTTTGAGTACATCAAACATCAAAAAGAGACGATCAAGAGACTGGAAGATGAGGTTGAGGAGAAGAATAGGACGATTGGGGAGTTGATTGGCTACAAACAGTTTGCAGAACAAGCAGAAGAGAAGCTCAAGGAGCTGTCATTGAAACTGGTCCAGGTGCAGACCAAGAACAGTGAATACAAAGCCAGACTCGAAGCAAGTGGCATTCACGAACAAGTGGATGCACTGACATTGCAGGCACATCTCAAGACGATTGAGCGATTGTCCAAAGAGCGTATCTATTTGTTTAGCAAGTTGCAACTGCAGCGTTCGGACAAGATCGAGAACGAACAGCGGTCTCCAGAGTTGGTTTCAAGTGATATCCAACTGGTGAGTATTGCAGAGAACAAGTCAGTGACAAGAGTGCATCAGGAGCAACCAGTTGTAGATTCTCCTTTGCATCGCCTGAACAAGAAATCTCATGTCAATAATGACACACCGCTTCAAGAGACATCGAAACAGCACACATTCAGATCTGTGACACCAGTGGATCACAACAGCAAACAGATACATCGAAAAGACACGCATCTGCTTTACAAAACAAAGCAAGCAGATATACAAAGAGAGACACCATTGAATCATCACAGAAGAGAGTTGGTGCAAACAGATCCCCCAATCAACAAGAGAAGAATGGACAAGGAAAACACACGCGCAGAGACACCATTACAGCTACAACACCATCATGAACCTGGAAGGCAATGCATGGCATGTGAAGAGTACAACGAATACATGAAAAAGCTCAAGAAACCAAGAACACCGGAAAGACCTGTCAAACGCCTGTTCAAGCAAAAAACACCGCCAGGTTACTGGGATCTTGGATTTCCATCAGATGAGGAACTTGCACAGAGACGCAAGATGCGTCAACAACAACTTGACGCGCGATGATGGAAAGCCAATCTGAAGCAACGTTGATTGAAGGAAAGCAAGAGTTCCCAACAATCATAGACCGTTTCCCAGAGTTTGGAACACTGGTTGATAAACTGTCCCATAATGTCAAGCGCATTTTGAAGGAAGTCGAACGCGAGCAACTCAAGAAGGGCTTGGTGAGGATTCCTACTTTGCGAAAGAAACCACCAACAGCTGGAAAGCATGACATCAAAGCCATGAAAGCGGAGCAGAAGAAGCTCAAAAGGGAGGAGCAAGCGATGGGGGAAGCGTTTGCACGCGCCATCAAAGTGCTGGATGCAGAGTACATTAGATTGCGAGACAGAGAGAACACACTCAAGTATTTGACCAGAGAGTAAAGTTTACAAAAAGTAGTCTGGTGCTGGTTTCTTTTGTGGAATGCCGCGATTGTCCTTGAATCAATGCAAGTACCTGTGGTGCTGCCTCAAAGATCTTGTAGTTTCTGTTGACGTGCTCGTCCAGTTCGAGTATGGCAGCGACATTGCCACATCTGTTTTGAGATCAAAAACCTGTAGCAATAGTTGGGTGCTGACCAGACAGTGACGATAGTGTCATTAAACATGAGTTTGTATCCCTCCATGACCAGTTGATGTGCACGTGCAATGAGTTCAAGATTATTGGCGTGTATAAATTGAGAAACGACGTCGCCACCAAAGAGATAGCCAGCACCACGCGGCGACAGTCCCCAGCCATCAATCTCCATCTTTAAAAGAAATACCATCTGGATCTGACCACAGCAGATCACACATCGCGCCATCATGAGGCACTTCTTGCTTCCTGTCAATAATGCGAATCTGATCAAGAGTATTAATGCTGGGACTTAATCCACCATGGACACAAAAGATGCGTTCGTCAATGATGGCTGAGAGTGACAAATAGTCAAAGATGTCGCAACAGTATCTCCACACATTCACAGAGCCATACTTTCTCAGACACTCGTCGTAGAATCCATAAACTTGTGTAATCTGCCTTGATTCGTGATTTCCTCTGATTAACGTAACTCTGTCCGGATAGCGCACCTGATATCACAGCAAATGCCTTGAGTGCAAGCAGTAAAAGAAATGTCTCGACTGAATAGAAACCTCTGTCGACAAAGTCTCCCATGAACAAGTATGATGTGTCTGGAACTTTTCCACCGACTTTCAAGAGTTCCTTGAGGTCAAAGAACTGTCCATGAATGTCTCCACATATCTATGTTCAACAGATGTACAGTCACTGGTGCGTCTACTTTCTGTACGTTCGATTCCTCGATCAGAATCTCCCTTGCTTTGTTGCAGAGCTCTCTGACTTCTGACTCCTTGATGATCTCACACCTCAACAGTTGTTCAATCTGACTAGTTTTAATTTAGGGACCGATCCAAATCGAGACTCATGTGTGGAAAGAGTTTTGATGCCTTTCGAGGTCATAAACTCGTGTGAATCTATACGAACAGTTGGAGAATGTGCAAGGTATGGATCTGGATGGATCTATCCTGTCATATCCAGTCAGTTTCTCCAACCAATTGTCCGTTTTTTGACGTTTTCTGACAGAGGAATGTGTCTTCATGTGTCTCTCTAGAACATGTCTGAATCCAAACTTGCAGTCACACTGATCACAATGGAAGCGTTTCTGTTCATGATTGGCTTGAATGTGTGCTTTTAGATTCCTGCGATGCATAAATGTTCTCAAACAGCCATCTATCGAACATTCGTAGATCTCTCTGTCCTTTTTGTATCTTTGGAGATGCTCATTCAGACTTTCTCTCTTTGTAAATGTCTGTCCACAGTGATGGCACTCCAAATGTGACTTTGTGTGCTGCATCAAGAGCGACCATGTTGGGAATTCCATAGAGCACTGTGCACAATGGTAGACAGGTGACTCCTGATGCTCTTTCTGATGCCTCGTGAGCAATGCCTTTCTTGTAAAGCTTTGTGTGCAGTCTGGACAGTTGAAAAGTCTGGGAATGTGGACAGACATGTGTCTCTTGAGATGATGCTGGTAGTGAAACTGTGCATCACACTCTGTGCACTTGAATTCCTTGTCTTTGTGTGTCTTTTGGTGTCTTGTGAGATGTTCCTTGCGTTTGTAGGTCCTTGAGCAAGTATCACATTGATACTGTCGATTTTCAGAGTGTGTTGCCATGTGTCTGTCCAGCTTTGATTGGTTTTTGAAGCCTTTTGGGCACAGTCGACACTCGAACATTTCAAATTCGGAAACTTTCCATGAAATGCATGTGCGGCAACATCACGAATGACCAAAACATCAAATTCAGATCACTTTCTCAGCTAGAAGATGGAGTGTGGAAGTGTCTCAACTGTCAGAATCAACCCATGACCAATCCAACAGGGAGTGCTGCATTTGGCATTATTGTCGATCCTCTACCGTCACAGACAAGGGATCCAGAGTTACAAGTTGCTGCAGACACTTACTTGGCAGCAATCAGAGTGCAACACAGGCTTCAATTACAGGAACTAGAAGAACGGCTGGAACAGGAGTTTATGGAATTGAAAGAAGTAGCCATCAGAGACCTAGAGTCACTGTCAGCCAAGATACCACAACACTCTCCTTTGGTGGAACAAAAAACACAGGAACCAGAAGTGATTGAGGACCCTTTGTTTCAAGATATGAGTCCAACAGCGCAGCAACTAGATGAGATTATGGAAGTACCAGAAGACCCCCAGATTCGCGACGAAATTGCTGAAATTGCAGAAACTGGTTTAATGTCAACTTCAGTACCCATTGACTTGCCAAAGATCAGACCCAGAGTCACAGACGACCAAGATAGTCCATTTGAACCACCTCACATTATGTCAGCACGAACATTCCAGGAGAATGCATTCGTCTTTGGAAGCATCAACAAAGCTGCTTACCAGAAAGAGTGATCACACACTTTCCCGAATTCAATGAAAATTCCGTTTTTGTTGTCAGAGGAAAACGACAAACCAATTTTGAGGAGACGATCACCTAGACTGAACAAGCCTAGTAGCTCTAGGATGGCTAGTCTGCCTCTTGAGATCATTTATACCGTCTTACACTGGATTGGAGAAGTAGATGTCTCAGAGTGGATAGAAATGGCTCTGATATCCAGGAAATGGTACCCACTGGTGCTAGAAAGGCTCAAAAAGCAATATTATACCTCTCGAGTCGCAACAAGGATTGGTTTGGAGCGACTGGTCAGAATCAGAGATAAGCAACAGGGAGACTGGACTAGAATATGCATGTTCTCTCTTGCTTGTTTACACTCGTTTGAATGGGGATTGGGTGCGCCTCGGCTGTTTTACATTGGCTCATCAAATGACTCGCAGCTCTTGCAGGAAGCAATGCAGAAACACCCGGACCCTAGCTCACAAGAGTGGAGGTCGATTATCAAGTGTTCGCTCGATGTGCAGGATGTTTACACTGATTTGACGCAATCTGAGAGTAGCCCTATGATTCTGAGATACTCTGAACGCATGGATCTTGGCTGTTTTTTGATTTACCTGCGTTTAGACTCTGTTGGACCAGTGTTGCTGCGTGTGAAACCCATTGGATCTCAAGAAACGAGCTGGTCTGTTGGAGATGGCAGAGTGATCATCTGGGATGAAAAGATCTATGGCACATGCAACATGTGTCAGATGGTGCTTCCAAGAGTGCAAGTGTGTGCAGATTGCAGAATTGCGCAGTATTGCTCACGCATCTGCCAACGAAAAGACTGGGATATCGGACACAAGAACATTTGCAAGTCTCTTGCGTTTGTAGTGCATGAACCAGACAAGGATCTTGCCAGTGAAGAATCAGAGGGTCGTTTGAGTGGCAGAGTGTATTCCCAGAGAAATCTGCACCACGAGTGATCCAAGAGTCTGTCTGACCATGAGATGCCATAAATTTTTTGACACACTGCGAATTGCAGTCATTTTTCTTTTTCATTGGATGTGGTCGCTGTCAACAACAGAGCTGAAAATAAGACTCGCTCCTTGCTTTATTTCACAGGAAAAGCAGGGAATTCACCAGTACTTACAGTCAATGCTGTTCAA